TAATATTATAATCCACAATAAAACAACTGTTACTACCCCTTGGGATTTTTAGTATATTTAGTTATGGTTACAAGATACCTGAGGAGAGGACACGAGGCTTCTTACCTTTTGGATTTGCAAAGTGATTATTCCCTCTCCCCACCTTTAGCAAAGCTAGGAAAAAGAAATTCTGATATTATTTTTTTAATTTTTTTTTTAATTCATGAACAGAAGGAGTATGAAATATGAATATCAAGGTACCAACAAGGCTCGAGAAACAAACATGACTTAATTACATATTACGGTAGATGATTATTAGTATTAGACTCTGTTCGTATACATATAATTATTAGTATTAGACTCTGTTCGTATACAAATACATGTTTTAAAAATATTTTTTAAAAAAATAATTTTTTATTTTAAATCAAGTTTTTTAGTATTTTTAGATATTTTAATGTATTAATGTCAAAAATAATTTTTTTAAGAATAAAAAATATTATTCTAATTAAAAAATATTTTAAAACATAACTAGAACCACATTTTAAAACACAAATTAATAGACAAAAAAAAATCAAAATGAAGAAAATGAAGATCACATCAAAAAAGATATCTCTTGATTACTCCTATTCACTTTGCCGACTGAGACGCATGCACTAATGGAATGATAATATCTCTTTGAGAGGACGATGGGCTGGATGCTCTGCATTGCGAGGTGTCGTTCTTGGCTCAGCTCTCAAGTGGCAAAACTCAACAAGAATTAGAAGACGACAAGGTTTGTGAGTCGCTGAAAACAGCCCTCAAACTTGAAAACTCCGTGATACCTCGCATAATGACAATTAATGACGTAAAATACATATTTTTTCTTTAAAATAAAATAAGTAAGACACAAAAATAGGAAGCAAGAATCTTACACGAGCATTCATTTCGATATATACACAGTAATTTTATATTTTTTATAAGAATTTAAAATAGTTGGGATTTTAATTATTTATCTAAATCTATAAAATATATTTTTTTAAAAATAATATTTTCTCGAATTTAAAATAAAAAAGAGTAAAATATAATACACTAAATAGCAAGATAACACACTAAATATTAAAATAATATGTGAAACCTTCCACCCTCCATCTAAGGTCGTCATTTTATGCATTTTTTAAGGTTTTTTAAAAATATTTTCCCTTATCATAATTATTCTCTAACTTGTTGGAGTTGTGAAAACTACTATTGTGTCGACGATTATGATAAGATCACGATGTCTCTTGGAAAGGAGGATGCACTGCATGCGATCGAGATTTGGTTTTTGGCTGCACCTCAAGTGGCAGAACCCCACAAGAATGAGAAGATAAGGCTAGTCAGTCGCAGCTAGTCGACATGTGGTACTGCGCCTAAACCCACACCCACACCCACACCCACACATATGCTCCCAACGTTTCACAGTATCTGGCATGGTGACATATTCTGAGAGTACTGTTCTCGAGCTTGAAAAATCAGTAATATTGACTGTTGTGGTACATGAGAAACCACAAGAACTCCATACATGCATGTATAACTTATTAACGTGTTTATTCCAAGTCTCTAGTCTAGGCATTTTAATATATAAAATTTGAATTGAGGAGTTCAATCAGGAAATATATTTTGAAGTTGATCCAGCTATTCCACTGAAATCAAATTTTGAAAACCATGTGAAAAGCATAGATCGTACGTGTAGAAATTAAGATTTGGGTTTGGGAAAAGAAAAAAGGATAAAGAATTTGATTAAGTCTGGTTGAGGTTACGATAGTGATTATGTTTAAAGTATTTTTTATTTAAAAATATATAAAAATAATATTTTTTATTTTTTAAAAATTATTTTTAACATCAGCACATCAAAATGATCTTAAAACAAAAAAAATATAACTTTTAATATTTTTTTAAAAAAATTGAGGGAACGCGGTTTCAACTACGTTCCCAAACAGAGTCAAGTTTAAAGTTTATGAGTTTTTAATTTGAGTATTTAAATTTAAAATTTGTTAATTTTAACCCTATTAAATTTTGAAAATGAGCATGTAAGCCTCATTCACATGTAGTTTATATATGTTAAAGTTTTATGTATTTTTCTAAGGATAAATATTAAATTTATTTAAATTGAAATTATCAATAATTAATGTTAAAGAAATAATTTAAGATGGAAACAAATAAAGAGTTAGTTTAGATTAGATATATAAAAACACTATTTTTAAAATATTTATTTACCCTATACGAAGACAATATATTTAAAAACCTTCTAAACCTCTAAAAAAATAAATAAAAAAAGATTAAATTTTTTTTTGTATATATATTTTTTGTATAGTAATTGGTTTTATTTACACAACTTTTCCTGACTAAATAGCTGATGAAACCTAAAAATAATAATAAAAACAACTAAAGTTCCTTATCTCTTTTTACCATAATTCCATCAATAAGTCCCTTTTCTCCTTTTCACCCGAATTCTATTAAATAAACTTGTCAAAATTTAACAATCCACACAACCTAAATTCTACAATTTAAATTTATTATGAACATGGCATCATCTAAGAAGCCCTGTACAGGTTGAACATTCCACAAAAACTTTGTAACTCAAGGATCTTCTCTCCCGAGAATGACATATGAGGAGCTTTTTACAGGTTAAACATTCATGGAATAACCCTACACTGAAAAAAAAAGGACTAAAAAACACATATGCTAGTTTTTATAGTTTTAAATATTATTTTTTTAGTTTTGACACATGCTAACAATACACACATACAAGCCCTAAAGAATGAGAATAAAAATAACCCTACACTTAAAAAAATAAAAAACAAAAAAAAAACATACTTCATTGCCAAACATCGGCCGCCACTCAACTTCCAAACCACAACAATAAAAATAAGAATGTATTTAAAAGTATGGTAATAATTATTTTTTAAAATATTTTTTTATTTTAAAATATATTAAAATAATAATTTTTATTTTTAAAAAATTATTTTAATATCAGTACATTGAAATAATTTATAAAAATAAAAAAATTAATTTAAAAAAATAAAAAAATTAATTTTTTTTAAAAATACTTCCAAAACATAACGCAAAATGCACTCAATGCCAAATACGTCGTCGCAAAAACCAACGTCGGTTGCTCTCCCTCCAGCAGTCCCAACCTCTTTGACAATTGACCAGTAGAGAAAGAAAGGAAAGCTTCTGAAACTTCTCGAGGCTCTAGCTCGTACTTCAGACATCTTCTTTCATTGGAAGCAACATAAATAAAAATAAAGGTTCCTAAAAGTCTCAATTATTTAAAATAAATAGAAAAAATGGATCACTTCAATCTAAACTCCATTTATTTCTTAATTTATGTAACAAAAACTTATTTTTGTAATGAGAAGAATCGAGTTTTTAAGTAAATTATATGATCAGAAAAGCAATTTTTAATAATAAAAAACATTAATATAATGCCTCAATATTTTGTATTTAATTGAAGAAGAGCTAACAATTTTTAATAATAAAAAAACATTAATATAATGCCTCAATATTTTGTATTTGATTGAAGAAAGAAAAATCATACAAAAAATATGTTAAAAAATAATAAAAAATAAATTTCATTTCATTGAATATTATAAGGAAATTTTTTTTTCATATCAGGTATATAATAATTAAAAAATAAATTTTTAAAATTACTATTAAAACCTATAATATTGTTTAAAAACAATGAAAAAATAAATAATTATTTAAAAATCATTTTAATTAGAGGGTGCCTACAAACACCCCGAAAGGACGCAGGTGAGAGGTGAGACGTCTAGTTTTATGAGGTTGGGTTTCCACACCTAACCAAATAAAAATAAAAGAAAAGTTAAATGCTTGTGGGTTCGCAAAACCTAGCTCACCAGTCTTTTTTTTTTCTTTTCCATTTAATAGGATGGATGATTTTATTTAAAAAAAAAACAAATAGATTACATGTCATCTTATACAACATATTTTGATAAAGTTGCTAGCCATCAAAGATAGAAAAAAAAAAAAATTCAATGTTCAAGCACCAACATACCATTTTCAACCTTGAAGAAACATGAAGATAGAAAAAACATTGAAGAAACATACACCTTAAAAAAATTATTTTAAACCTTAAAACATTCTAAAATATATTTTTAAAAAATCACAATTAAAATGAAATAGATTTTTTTTTTCCAAAACTCAATCTACTATTTTTGACGACATGAATTATTAAAAATATATTAATAAAACTCATCTCCTCAAAATAACCCCATTAATAACGTTAATATATAAAAAAAGTCTTTCTTTTTAGAGATCAAAATGCAGCCATCTAACCATTTACTCTCTCCTCTCCATTTTTCCAACGACTCTCTCCTTTCCATTTTAAAAATTAAAACATAAAACAAATAAAGTTAAGAATTATAATTAAAACTCTTAAAAAAACGAAGACCGAAAATAAAAGAGTAAAAACTTCCAGGATAAAATCTCACTTTTCCATGCCCCGTATGAATAGTAAATTAAGGAAAAGAGATTTTTCTTCTTTTTGTGTTGAATTTGATCGTTTTAATTTTTTTTAATATAAAAAATTAATTCTAATGTTGCAATATATATATATACAATGCTGATATTTTTATACATCGCAGATATGTTATAGCAAACAAGACAATAAATTATCAGACTTGAAACAAAGTCACCATAGCATTGCGGAAAAAATAGACCACAATCAGATAATTTTTCAAAGGCTAAAAAAAAATAAGGCTAACTCAGCTACACAAAATATTCCATAGTGCACCCGAGTCTTGCGCCGTGGTGAAAAAAACAGTTAAAAAAAGAACAAAAAAGAAAGAAAGAATGGTGTTCCAGTATTTTTTATACACGAAAGGGTTAAAGAAATTGTTTGGATTAATATGCTTCAGAAGAAAAGTTCATGTCTGTCTTACACTTGCCAATTACAAATTCCAAAAAAATGAAAAAAAACATGGAATCTAACAACCAGTGTACCAAAGAAAATGAATTAAGACCCGAATTCGTGATTCTCACCGCCGCCAAATTCAATTGTAACGCTACGAATTCACAAGAAGCAATCATCTGCAAGGAGAGAGGCCAAAACATATATTCAAATTCAATGATGATAAATGCTCACAGTAGTAGCAGCTTGCAGGTATGCTTAGAAACTTATAAAGTGTCTAGGAGGAGCATGATTGCGGCTGTTTTTTAAAGTTTTTTAATATAAAAATGCTTCAAATCTTTATTTTTTATTTTTTAAAAATTATTTTTAACTTCATCACATCAAAACGATTTACAAACATTAAAAAAATTAATTTTAAGCAAAAAAATTTAAATTTTCCTGAAACTCCGGAGCATACACAGCCCCCAAACAGGGTATTTAAATATAAAAGCAGAAAACGGGTACCACCACTGCAGGATTTTAGACGAATAACATATTTCAACGAAAAAGTCATGCACGAATTGCAATACAGCATGCCTGAAGTTCTTTGATATTTACTAGGACGGAAATCAAAACAAGCAACTATGTAATGTTATCTCCGAGGTGACAGAACACATTTGCTATATTACAATATCCAGCTCTAATATGTTCATCAGTCAAACTTGCATTTGATCAGCATGGAAAAAAGCTACAGATCAGTGAATTCAGTCCCATGATGAGAAACGGCCAACCCAGGTAGCACGCTGAAGGATTCAGTCTCAAGTGGGTTTTATATGGATGGAAATCCATAGGAATTATAGCTGACAGGGAACAGTTATTCTAGAGGATTCAAGTCTTTCTGCATGCTCATGCACACACAGATATAAATAACACTCGTCCAATAGTCTTGAACAACTATTGAAAGACTAAATCACATTATATGCAACAGTGTAAATAACTAAAAGACTATGAAATCAACAAGAAAAGTTGGCACAAGCACATACCAAGGGTTAAACAAGCGATATTTCTAGTAATGCACATCTTCTAGACAATGAGTTCATCTTCAAGATAGTTATACTCAAAAGTGAACTCCGTCTTGATTCTTTGACACCTGAACATACAAAAACAGAGATCATAAGAACCACAAGCGCAGTCAAATTATATTGAAATGAACTCAATTTTTTTTGAAGATGAGCTGCAATGTATATATAGATATGAGGGATTGATTTGAAATAGATTGAAAATCAAACTGATAACAAATTCTTGGCTACATTGGCCTAATTTGAGTATTTAGACAAAAACATGCAATAAATTCACACATGCAACCATGTCTGTTCATGTGTGCAAGCTTCTGAATGTTGAAATCATTCTAATATGTAAAGGAAAATAATATAGAATAACTTTAACTGACATGCCAAGGTAGAAGCACATTTCCACAACGTTTCACCAATGTTACCCACCAGCCTAATGAAGTGAAAACCCCCTTTGAAAATCTAATATGATGGACCATTCATCCTCTTATATCATTAAACAATTTTATCTCATCCTTAAGTCTTATATGATGAAATAATTTGATCTCATCCTTATACACAAGCAAATATAATTTGACCACACATGCAATACAAGAGTAAAGATCACATACAAAGAAAAAATTATACAGAAAAATTTAACAAAAAGAACATTCAATGTAATGATTTTATAAGTCACTTGTCTGCAGTAAATCACTTGTACAATACCATCACTTGTAAAATCAGTTGAGAAGATTTTTACGTACAACTTTCTGTTTGTATAGAGTTTTCCATAACACAAAGTTCAGCAGCAATGCAAACCAGATGGAGAGTTAAATCAAAATCAGCATACCATCCTTGTTTGTCGTCTTTGCCAACATGGAAATCAAAATACACATATGTCCCCTGTTCATATTCATCAGTAGTAACTTTTGGCTCCTCATGCCGTTGAAACCAGGTGTTGTATTTTCTGTGGTATCTCCAAGATTGCTTCTTTAGCTCTTTCGCAGCCAGATACTGCTGATAGGTATTCTGCACATGATAATTGGCTTGAGAAGAAACTTGCAGTCATTGTATGACAGAAACAAAAACTGCATAGTAATGAAACAACATAGCATGCCACATCACCTGTTGATAGTAAAAAGCAAAGAACAAGGTATCAGTTCCATAACTATGCATGCTTAGACGTTCCCAGAATGCAGGGTTACTTGCCATTGGTAACTGAACTTGAGGATAGCTAGGAGGGGTGGCTGCCGGGTGCCTCTGTCCAGACAAACAAGAGAGATTACCATAAACAATATTTGCCCATAGTTTAAAAGGTGCTATAATAGGAAGATAATTGCACATCCATACTGGAATATAGCTCCTAGCTCGTTCTGAGTCTTTAGGTTGAGGAAGCTTGTGATATGCAGCCTCAAGCATCTGTAAATTGTATAACTGATTGTGCATTGCCCCAGAATTTACAGCAGATCCAGTGAGATTATCACCAATGGCACCAAGGTCCGAAACACTTCTCCGGCCAATAACACCTAGGCCACTAGATGGTTGACTGGATTGTAGGGGTTGCCCTGGAGAGAGATCAATATCTCTTGGCACTTGTAAAGGCTCTGTCAAGGAACCAGATGCCCCAGCCTGCAGCAAAGACATTATAAAGCAACTTCAGTCACCCTAAGTAGACTATCAAGGTGCACACACTACCAAATTGTCAACCACAATAAAGTGCTTACAAGGCAATTGGTGGCATAGAATTTCCAAACAAAAAATGCAATGGCTTCATAAAAAGAAACCTGGCCCAGCACATTGACTTTACTGAGTAGATCCATGGTTAACGTAGAATCTACATGTTAATTCATAAAATCTGTATATGGGATAACTCATCTCAACATATGAATCTCTTTACTGGCAAAAGATATGAAAAAAGTAAACCTTGGATGGGATAAACACAACTACCAAAATTTAAAGGTATGGATATGCTTCTTGTGTGTGCGCGTGCACATATGTGCATGAGAGAGAGAGAGAGCATCAGTTTGCAAGATAAAATGAACTCATGACAAATTATTTGCACGTTACAGTGAAATACACATTCAAAAATTAAAAGGTGTTCTAGTTATGAAATATGATAACAGCTAGCAAGTTGCAACCAAGTCTATTTGTAATTGGAGGGGTCACCCAATCATTACCTCACAGAGAATCCCTCCCATCCCCGTCCCCACTTTAAAACAAATTTGGGAGAGGACATGCTGAGGATACAATATCAAAAAATAGAGGGGCTCTCAAAATTCAACAGACAATCATTATTTCATTGTGCTGGTAACAGTTAAGCCACCGCGGTGATGGATATCAAATTCAAATAACAAAGCCCATAAGAATACTAATAAAAAATATCAGGAAAGGTCCTGTGGGTAGGTGGTGCTGTGAAAGCCCCAAACTTGAAACTATATCTGGGTAAGAAATTAATTTCAATTTTTACAGTCAGGGAAATTTAAAATCTAGCCCTAGTAGAGCAGGATGGGATGCATGTGGAATACTTAAAACAAAAAAATCTACACGGCAGGCAAGATTAGGAAATATTCTACATACAGA